GAACGGGCGCGGCGGCGGCTTCGCGCCGGGCACCGAGCCCTTCCCGGGCCTCTTCCCGCGCAAGCCCGCGCCCATGCCCAGCCCGGGGCACAACAGCAAGCGCATCAAGGTGGAGAAGGACCTGGAGCTGCCGCCCGCCGCGCTCATCCCCTCGGAGAACGTGTACTCGCAGTGGCTCGTGGGCTACGCGGCGTCGCGGCACTTCATGAAGGACCCCTTCCTGGGCTTCACGGACGCGCGCCAGTCGCCCTTCGCCACGTCCTCCGAGCACTCGTCCGAGAACGGCAGCCTGCGCTTCTCCACGCCGCCCGGGGACCTGCTGGACGGCGGGCTGTCGGGGCGCAGCGGCACGGCCAGCGGGGGCAGCACCCCGCACCTGGGCGGCCCGGGCCCCGGCCGGCCCAGCTCCAAGGAGGGCCGGCGCAGCGACACGTGCGAGTACTGCGGCAAGGTGTTCAAGAACTGCAGCAACCTGACGGTGCACCGGCGGAGCCACACCGGCGAGCGGCCTTACAAGTGCGAGCTGTGCAACTACGCGTGCGCGCAGAGCAGCAAGCTCACGCGCCACATGAAGACGCACGGGCAGATCGGCAAGGAGGTGTACCGCTGCGACATCTGCCAGATGCCCTTCAGCGTCTACAGCACCCTGGAGAAACACATGAAAAAGTGGCACGGCGAGCACTTGCTAACTAACGACGTCAAAATTGAGCAGGCGGAGAGGAGCTAAGCGCACGCGCACGAGCGCGCGCCGGGCGCACCTGTACAGCGGCGCCTGACTTGCCTCCGCGTCACCGCCAGCGAGCGCCCTGCCCCTGCGTGTCCCTGGGGCGCAGGGGAGGCGGCACCCCAACCTAACCTGTGTCTGCGAAGTCCTATGGAAACCTGAGGGTGGATTAAGGCAGTAAAAATTGTGGAGCCTTTTAACTGTGCAATAATTTCTGTATTTATTGGGTTTTGTAATTTTTTTGGCATGTGCAGGTACTTTTTTTTTTTATTATTATTCTTTCTGTTAAAAGTTCCTTTAAAAGATTTTGTTGGGTATCCATCCCTTCTTCCTTTTTTTTTTTTTTTTTTAACCCAGTAGTCTGAGCAATGACTCGCAAGCAATGTAGATGGGAAGCATATCTTTTAAATTATAATTTTTTTTGGGGGGAGGGTGCTGCTTTTTTGAAATTTAAGCTAAGCATGTGTAATTTCTTGTGAAGAAGCCAACACTTAAATGACTTTTAAAGTTGTTTACTTTTTTATTCCTTCCCCCCTCTTTTTTTTTGGTGTTTTGTTTTTTGGTCCTAAAATAAAACGTGGCATGCATTTTTTTGGGTTTTGTTTTTTAGGGGGGGTGTGGATGTACAGCGGATAACAATCTTTAAAATCGTAGCACTTTGTTTCGGAATTGGAACGGACATGTAGCACTGACGACAGCCCCAGAGGCCTTTTCTGTGTTGGTTTCAACTGTTGCGTTGTACTAAGGGAAACTTGCAGTGGGAGGCATTGGGGGAGGCACCCCGCAAACCAAGCAGGGTTTCTAGGCTGCTCTGGGGCTCACAGGTGTGCATTACCAGCAGATACTGCCATTTCTTGGCATGTTGATGCCCCGGATGCCAGCTCTGCAGATTCAGCTGCATTAAATGGGCCGAGGGTACTTATTACTGGGTAGGTGGTGGTGCCCTGCGGTGACACAGCAAGGACGCGTCCCCTGGTGTTCTTCCAGGCTTCTGACTTAACCACTGCTCTTTCTCACCCCCATGCTCTGATTCCCAAGTGTATGTTGCTACACGTGGTAACTGACCATCCACTTCTCAAGCAGATGAGAAAACGGGAGGTTAGTGTCCTCTCGGGCCATGCACACTGGTGACCTGGTAGAGACGGGGGTAGTGGGGGAACGTTGCAAATTTCTGCTCCCTTTGCCTGGAGAAGCGGGAAGAGTCCCATCCGGAGGTGCCCAGCGCTATTTCCCAATTTTTTTTTTTTCTCCGATTAGGTTGGAAGGTCCTAAACGTTGGACTCTTAGGATTAGACGTTTGAATTCTGTTGACCCGCACTTTAAAGCTTTTGTTTGCATTTAAATTAAATGGCTTCTAAACAAGAAATTGCAGCATCTGCTCTTTGGCCCAGAGGTGGGTTAAACTGTAAGGGACAGCTGAGATTGAGTGTCAGTGTTGCTAAGCGTGGCATTCACAATACTGGCACTATAAAGAAGAAAGTAAAATAATAATTTATTGGACAGTTTTTCTACTGCCATTCAATTAGATGTGAGTGCCTTGAAAACTGATCTTCCTATTTGAGTCTCTTGAGACAAATGCAAAACTTTTTTTTTGAAATGAAAAGACTTTTTAAAAAAGTAAAACAAGGAAAGTACATTCTTTAGAAACAAACAAAGCCACACTTACTTTAATTTAAAAAAAAAAAATCCTGGTTTGAAGATAGAGGACATGAGACCCAGTCAAATGAAGAATTAAACCCAGCACAACCGTGGACATCCATTAGCTGAATTATCCTCAGCCCCTTTTGTTTTTTGGGACAACAACGCTGCTTAGATATTGGAGTGGAGGTGATTTACTGCTGAATTAAAACTCAAGTGACACAAGTCGATATTGTTGAATGAAAAACAAAACAGAAAACAATTCAGGAGCAACGGCTAATTTTTTTCTAAAGTTAAATTTAGTGCACTCTGTCTTAAAAATACGTTTACAGTATTGGATACATACAAGGGTAAAAAAAAATTGTGTGTATGTGTGTTGGAGCGATCATTTTCTTTTTCAAAGTTTGCTTAATAGGTTATACAAAAATGCCACAATGGCTGCGTGTATATTGTTTTTTTTGGTGACGGGGTTTTAGTATATATTATATATATTAAAATTTCTTGATTACTGTAAAAGTGGACCAGTATTTGTAATAATTGAGAATGCCTGGGCATTTTACAAAACAAGAAAGAAAAAAACCTTTTTTTTTTTTCCTTGAAAATGTTGCAGTAAAATTTAAATGGTGGGTCTATCAGTTTGTTCTTGTCACAGTAACTGTAAAGTCGGAGTTTTAGTAAATTTTTTTCTGCCTTGGGTGTTGAATTTTTATTTCGAAAAAAAAATGTATAGAAACTTGTATTTGGGGATTAAAAGGGGATTGCTACACCATGTAGAAAAAGTATGTAGAAAAAAGTGCTTAATATTGTTATTGCTTTGCAGAAAAAAAAAAAATCACATTTCTGACCTGTACTTATTTTTCTCTCCCGCCTCCCTCTGGAATGGATATATTGGTTGGTTCGTATGATGTAGGCACTTGCTGTATTTTTACTGGAGCTTGTAATTTTTTAACTGTAAGCTTGTCCTTTTAAAGGGATTTAATGTACCTTTTTGTTAGTGAATTTGGAAATAAAAAGAAAAAAAAAAAACAAAAACAAACAGGCTGCCATAATATATTTTTTTAATTTGGCAGGATAAAATATTGCAACAAAAAAAATTTGTATGTTAAGTCCTATTGTACAGGAGAAAAAAAAAAAAAGGGTTGTTTGACAACCTTTGAGAAAAAGAGACAGAAGGAAGCAGTTCAGTGCTTTGGTTCACGGATCAGTTTAGTTGTATATATTTTTGTCGGAATTGGCGTACACAAAGAACTGTTCGAGGTGGGCTTTGAGCTCGATGCCCCGAACTTTGCCCCAGGACGCCTTGGCGTGACCGCAGCAGACTGGATGGGAAACACTGTATGGTGTTGCTTGGGAAAATCAGTCTGTGCGAAGACATTGGTCACATTCCATAGTGTCCTCCCTTCCTCTTAGAGGACGCCTGTAAGCTGGCAGGTGTAGAGGAGAGACACGCGGTCTCCTTCCTTCTCTGCTGTTGCTTCTGTAGCAGTCACCATCACCTCTGCCGTCCTCTGGCCTCTGGGGCAGAGAGAAGTGTAAACCAAGCTGCTTTCGTCCCTGCGAAAACGGGAAACAAACATGAGCCGTAGTGGAAGGAGCTGGCGGGTCAGCGGGGTCCGCTGGGGCTGTTGCAGGCGGGATTCGAGGAGGGAGGCCCTTGCAACCAGGACCTTCCGTTCCATGGAGATGTTGGCCTGTTTTTCTTCCCTGCTTTGCTGCTTTTCTCTCCGCAACCTACATTCCGTCAGTTTCCGAATGCTGAGGGCCTGGGATGAATGAATTCGGTGCCTTTCCATCTCTCCTTCCTCTGCGTTTCCCCTCCATCCTCCAGCCTCTGTCTGTCTTGTATCTGTTCATTTCATTTTTATTTAATCTCTCTCTCTCTCTGTCTCTCTGTATCTTCCATCCCCACCCCTCTTACTTTTTTTTTTCTTGTAAAGCCAAGTAGCTTTAAGATAATAAAAGTGGTGGTCTTTTGGATGAGGGAATAATGCATTTTTAACAAATACCTATATCAGGAAGCCATTTTTTTTAATTTCAGGAAATATAAGAAACTATTATTTCAGGTTATGGAAGTATAACCAAGCATCCTTCTAGGCAGTTCTTTACCAAATGCAGAAATCGTTCTTCCGGGAGCTTTTCCGTTGGCACAGTTTTCCCCCTGCCGCTCACCTTTGCAAGGTTAAAAGAGAGGGGCAGAGCAGTGGGCAAAAAGCGGAGTTTTCGTTCCCTCCCTGTTCACCCACGGCACCAGGGCTGCCTTCCCTGGCCCGCCCCTGCCCTGTTAGCTGCTCCTGAGCCCCACGGTGGCCCTCCTGCAGCCATCACAGGTAGCCAGCACACACCAGCTCACACAAAATCACCAGAATGCCAGGACTAAGCCATCCTAAAGCACAAGGATTGTGTGTCTCTGTGGACCACAGAGAGAAGAGAATTTTGCTTCTCTTTTGTGTTTAAAAATATACCCACCCTGAAGCAGGCGACCCAGAGAGAGGGCTCTAGCCTGGGTGACCCAGTCAATCTAGGGCCGGGTTCCACACTGCCACAACTTTGCCCAAAGTTGCCCCCCATTGGAACCTGCCACTTGCCATTGGAGAGTCTTTCAAGGGGAGAGGAGACTGAATTACTCTAAGCAAAATGTGAAAAGTAAGGAAATCAGCCCTGCATCCCGGCCCGTCCATCAGCCGGAGGTTTTGTTGAACACAGGCAAATCTGTGATTTGGTGCTCTTTGTATCTCAGCCCTGCAAAGCAAAGTTACATTGATTTCAGTTGTTTGCATTTGTACTGGCAAGGCGAAATATTTTTATTACCTTTTCTATTACTTATTGTATGAGCTTTTGTTGTTTACTTGGAGGTTTTGTCTTTTACTACAAGTTTGGAACTATTTATTATTGCTTGGTATTTGTGCTCTGTTTAAGAAACGGGCACTTTTTTTTTTTAATTATGGATAAAATGTTGAGATGACAGGAGGTCATTTCAATATGGCTTAGTAAAATATTTATTGTTCCTTTTATTCTCTGTACAAGATTTGGGGCCTCTTTTTTCCCTTAATGTCACAATGTTGAGTTCAGCATGTGTCTGCCATTTCATTTGTACGCTTGTTCAAAGCCAAGTTTGTTCTGGTTTCAAGTTATAAAAATAAATTGGACATTTAACTTGATCTCCAAACCTTGTCCTTTTCTGTGTCTTTTAAAGGTGGGGACTGGACAGCTTATTTCCAGGGGTGAATTGGAGGTCTTTCTCCATTTTCCCACTGAGCCAAAGCCCTGAGTCTATGTCCAGGAGGAAGGGAAACAAACCACCAGACACCAACAGTGCTCTGCCCCCGTAAAGTGGTGAGATTTAGAACACTGTTTGCACACTGGGGTCTCCTTGGAGCTTAAAAATCTGTACCTGGCTGGACCAGAACCAGTGGTGTCAGCATCTGGAATGGGTCCCATCATTGTATTTTAAAAAGTGACCCACAGGATTCTTCAGCTGAATCAAGTGGTTTAAAAAGGAAAAAAAAAAGAAAGAAAGAAGAGAAAAGAAAAAGAAAGAAAGATCACCTTGCTGGAGATACTAGACTCAGGTCTGGCTTAATTTGGCTAAAATTTCCTCAACACCTGGTAAACCATCCGGGAATCAGATTCAGTGAGATGGAAGTCCTGTTTCAAGGGTCACAATGGCTCTGTACACTTGGGAAGGCATCCTTGGATTGCCCTTATGTAAAATGAGGCTATTGGACAAGATAGTGTCTTTGACCATCCATGAATTTTAACAAAACTACACAGGACTCCTTTTCCCCCGTGCTGGATGCTAACAAAGTTGAGGATGTGTCTTTAGGGGTGGTCAAAGTCAGGCCTTTCAAAATGGCCTTTAACTTGGCTCTTCCCAGTGCCGGGCCCAGAGTAGCTAAGATGGGGATGGGAGAACGCCGTGTTCTGCAGGGTTCCAGCCACTTAGGCACAAAGGCACCTTTGGTTTCTTCCACGTGTGTGAAAGCTTACCCTGAGTATGAAGGGACTAAGGGCTGATAGGGTTCTCTTCACATCCATCCAATTATCCATCCATCCATCCGTCCATCCATCTATCCATCCTGCTTTTATAGGGACAGAGAACTTTCCACTGAAACCATTCTTGCAAACTCCCGTAGGCATTGACCTTGAACCAGGTACCAAGCCGGCAGGGAGACTGCAGAGAATGGAAAATCCAGCCATCCTTGCTAAGGTTCTCTGGGTTCTGCCCATGGAGATGACAAGAGATGCGAGGGAGCATGTTCTTCCATGTCTCATTCTCACACCAAGTATGTCATCTTTCCCCCAAGGACCACTGGACAGGATGAAGGAAATTTTATTTCAACATTGCGAGTAGAGTCTACAGTTATTTAGGAGAAGACCTCCCCTACTTTTTAGGGGCTTAATGAAATTTTCCAGAGAGGAATTCTCTTCTATTCCAATATTTTCCTCAGTTGGCTTAAAAACACAGGTGTTTGAGCCTTCCTGTGTCCCACCTAGAAACCTGGGCAGATATCAGAATGGAAACGCTCACATTCTGACTGGGATTCACTGCTGGTTTTGGAAACAGTCCCTACTTTAGAGTGGAGACACAAACACTGAGACTGAATCCCAGAAGTTGCTTAAATGAGTCACTTACCTCTCAAGGATACCTGATAGTCATGGTTACAGCCTGGCAAAATTTGGGCATTATCAGTAGGGCAACAATGGCTCAGCTCAGCTCTCACCAGTATCAGTAATAATTAGCCTTGTGAGCTTAGGTCAGTCCCTCCCTTTTCTGGACGTCAGTTTCCCCATTTGTAAAATGAAGGGCAAAGATACCTGGTTCAACGTTTTCTGGAAGGAAACATTTTCTCACCAGCAGACAGGTGGGTCCTGGAGACAATACCTTCTGTACACGGAGTAACAGGACACGATGGGAAGGTTCATCTCAGAAAAGTTCCCTATTAGGTTACAAAAATCAGAGTGAGAATGGATCTCAAGAACAGAAGGTCCCGTGCGGACACGGGTAATGACTGGGGTCTTCACACCGCAGCTCACAGCCCTCCTCGCTGTCTAAGCGGTCCCACTTGTGGGTCAGAGCTCTGTGCGGACCGCTGTCTGCCCTGTTCTGAACTCTTGGTCCAGCAACTAAACCAGAGCGGAGCGCCCCTCTCCGCTCTGGAGATAAAACTGGGGGAATAAACTTTTAGTGTTAATGTAATGGAAATACATAATGAATCTCAAGGAACTTTCAAGTCAGGGAGGGTGAAAATTCTAATTTTCTCTGTGTAGGTGAAGCTTCAGTCATGATTTTCCTGCTGTGGATAATCTCCAAAACAGTTTTATAGGATTCTGGTTATGGACCACCGGGGATATTTGAAAGAAGTCAAAACGGGTTGAACTTGAAAGTCAATTTAATTCTCAAAGCAAAGACTTAGCTGGATGTCTGAATTGGGCACAAAAGGAAATCTCTGTCCTTTGCCCTTATGGAGG